AATTGTCTTTCGAAAAAAAATTTTTTTGGGTCTTTTCACTTTAATTTCGAGGAATAAACACACAGGTGGAGACGGATGAAACTGAGAGGCTTCGAGCTTTTACTACTCGGCGCCAAGTTTGCGCTGCAGCTTATTTCTAAGAAGAAAAAAGGAATACATTTTTGTTTAATTGTTACCTTCCTTTTTTTTTAGATTCTTTACTCTGTTCCCGGAATGATGGAGCGGAAACTTGGATGACTCGAGTCATTGTTTTTCTGGAAAATCCGGAGAAAATATGAGGTCTTGGGAGACGAAGCTTCGAGTAAATAATGTGGCACACCTTTGAATGTACCTGAAATCTGAGACCACTCTGGTATTATTTAAAATGAGTTTCTAATTGGAAAAGCAAAGATGAGGTTTTCATCCGGGCTCGACTTTATTTAAAATAAAAAAGTCCTGTTTTTACAGTTTTGGAAAACTTGAGTGAATCATTCCTTCCTAGTCCTTTTTTTTTACTTCAATAGATTGCTCGAAGGAAATCCGGGTAAAAAAAAAATTCACATATGATGGTGATCTAAAATTGTTGACTAGTTTTAATGGGACTGATTATTCAGAGAAGATATCATCCATGTTTCAGAGAACTTTCTTGAAACATTTTGATTGTCGATTCAAAAAGGTTACTCTCATCTTTTCTTGCTTTTTGAGGATGCTGATTTTTGGAATAATTTCCTGATTCCCACAGAAATATTTATCTTGTGGATCATCACGTGTTAATTCAAGGCAGAGAAGATCGACATAGTTCGAAGGAAATTTAGTTTTAAAATATTCAATTCATCTCAAAATTTCGGATTTCCCGCCGAATATTTTTGGAAATTCATTTTGGAAAGTTCAAGGGAAGTACGCGATTTTTTAGGATACATCCAAATAATTCTCAACTTGAAGTGGAAATATTTTTTAATTCTACTGATTTCAATTATTAATTTCTTTGTAACATTTTTTTGTGTATAGCCCTACTGAGAACAAAGCACAGAATTTCTCTTGCAATTTTGAATCACATCTTCGATGACGAATGAGAGGCTCAACAATTCAATAAGAATAAAATTTCAAAAAATCGCCAATTTTCTTTCTTCTTGAATAATTTTATCTTTGACTGAAACGTCCTTGAGTTTGAGGATTACATGTATATAATTAAATGTTCTGTCAAATTCTATAGGAAAAATTAAAATTGTCAGTTTTGTTCATGATGAATGTTCTGGCGGTTTTCAAAAGCTCCATTTTTCAAAATCTTCCTCTGAATAATAGCTATCTACAAATGAAATTTAAAAAAAGAGACGAATGACATTCCATTGACATTTTTGACGAAATTCCACTTATTTTCTGAGTTAAATCAACTATTATCCAGAAAAAATAAAATAATTCTATCTAATATGGCGAACAATAAAAGAAATAATATGCAAAAAATGTTCGTCAAATTTATTTTCGTCATTTTTTCTGAGCAAGTATCCTCCAATTTTTAAATATATTTTATCATGTATTTTTCGTAGTAAAAAAGTACCGTGTAATTGATATGATTTATGTGTACTCAATACGTCCGAATTAGTTTGAACATCACACGAAGAATTTTCTCAATTCTTGAATTAAATTTATCGTGATGTAGGAATAAGCCATAGAGAAGGTTTATGGGTTTTCTTTTCAATTCAAAAACAAGATTCAACATTATTTGAAATATATACTCACATCCAAGTGATGGCCGGACACGGAAGAGCAAGAGAAGCAACGATTCCAATCACTAAAATCACTTTCGTGGGCAACATGCCAAAAATGAAGCATGTTTTCTGTTTTCTGCGCCATTTTCCCACAGTTTGCGTCGAATTAATCACTTGCTCACAATCCGGAATCATGTTTGAATTGCACATTCGGTTCAACATTGTCTCGTTTTTGTTTTGTTTTTGCGGCTCAATCACGAGGCAAACGAGTATAACAAGGTATAACGGAAAATCGATCGCGGATTTTTTTCTGCAACACAGGAAAATCTGATGAAGTTTTCGTCAGTTGCCGATTCAGCGATATAAAAAAATGTTGTATTGCTCGAATTTTAACACAAAAATTGGCAAAACGTGTTTGCACTATTTCACAAAAATGAAATTCATTTCGTATCGCAAATTTTGTTGTAAAATTGCTGCAGCCTTCATTCAGAAAAAAATTAAAGAGAAATTTGAAAAAATTAACCTGTTCCTTGATTATACAGAAAAAACGAGAAAAAACGTGTTTGTTTTTATTTAAAAAACTTTTACTTTGTGATATCTCAGACAAATTGAGCTATTTACATTCACAAAAATTGCAAAATATTTCAGCAGAAATTTAATCTGATTCACACTAAAAACAATGTGATTTTGTGCTTATTTTTGCATATTTCTTTCTATCATCTGTGCACATTATAGCAAGACTTATTCTTGTTTTTGGCTGGTTGGGCTCCTTTTTATGCCTGATTATTCTATGTGGTTTTCTTCTGCACTGTTGTTTTCAATAACTTTAAGTTGTGGGAAAATTTTTTTATCAATACTTTTGGAGGACTTATTCCTAGTTTTGACAAACTAGAGCACCAATTAAATATGTTTGCTTGGAAGTCTGTGGGAAAACAAGGTTTGAAATGCAGACATTTCAACATATATAGGGACAAGGTCCAATCATAATTAAATCTTCATCTCAGGATCCCACTGTAGTTCCCATCAATTGACAGAGCTTACCAACTGTGTAGAAAATAACTCCAATGATGAATGAAAAAACACTGACAGTTTACAGATTTGATTGCTAAAGGATTCAAAAGCTCATCCTTTCTGGATGTCTGCATCATGCCTTCACATAGGTCTTGCAAATACTTCAGATTACTGAGATGATAAAAAAAACTCAAGACAAATTTAAAAAAAAAAAACATCAGCAAATCTTCATTTGAGAAAAAAGCAAGGAATCAAGCACTTGGAATACAAATTTCACCACAGAATAACTCAGCCCATGCACAAATCTCACACCAACTCAACATCCAATACCTTATTATTCTTCCACCAACAAGTGTGACTGCCTCAGCAGTGAAAATTTTTTTTGAATAAAAAAGATAAATAGAAAACACAGGGAACTCTGAACATTTTTCAATTCCATAATTGTTGGAAACCCTGTGCTGACATATAGTGAGCTCTAACTTTTTTTTTGAATAAATGAACACTAATAATGAATATCAATTCACAGAGCTCACTGATGGTATAAAAAATAATGCAGGGCAGGATTAAAATAAATGCATTGACAGTTTTACAAATTGGACTGTTCCTGGGAATTCAAAGACAGATTTTCGACATCATGCTTCCATCACATAATTCTAAAAAATCCACAGAGCTTACAGCTGACATGATAAAAAGAATGCAAGAGACAAATTTTAATATAAAAATTGGCAAATCTTCAAGTTGAGGGAAAAAACCAGATATACCATATTTACTCAAGTACCACAAGCACCTTTTTCCCCAAATTTCAGAAGAAAAAAAGGGGTGCGCATCATAAGCAGGTACAAAATTTTCAAGAAGTTTTAGGAAGTTATGTGTGCATTATATACTTGATTATAATGTGCACACAGAATTCCTCATCATTCCTTTTGATCACCAGGGCTGATTCATCAGTTGAATAGGCCCTGGAGATCAATATCTCCAAGGCTGGTTCCTTTTGCTAGATTTCCTTGGAATCTTGTTTTTTTGATTCTGGTTAGAAATTCATGTTTCATAACTGTTTTTATATAATCATCTTCTGGAAGAAGATGGATTTATTTTTCTGGAATATTTGAGGCAACGTGGCGTTTCGTACGCTGCGTCGATCTTTTCTTCTTCTGTTTGTACTCCTGACTCGGGCGACATCTAGTCGTCCCGAGAAAAGCGGCGTGTCAGCGGGCGACATCTGTTCGACCCGTGACATCTTCGATGACGAATGAGAGACTCAGCAATTCAATAAGAATAAAATTTCAAAAAATCGCCAATTTTCTTTCTTCTTGAATAATTTTATCTTTGACTGAAACGTGATTGAGTTTGAGAATTTCACGCATAATTTAATGTTTTGTCAAACTGTATAGGAAAAATGAAAATTGTCATCTTTGTTCATGATGAATGTTCTGGCGGTTTTCAAAAGCTCCCTTTTTCAAAATCTTCCTCTGAATAATGGCTATATCTACAAATGCAATTTTTTTTCATGAAAAAAGGACGAATGAGATCCCAGCAGTGACATTTTCGACGAAATTCCACTTATTTTCTGAGTTGAATCAACTAATATCCCGAAAAAAAAAATTCGATCTATTGGCGAACAAACAAATAATATGCAAAAAATGTTCGTCTAATTTATTTTTCGTCCTTTTTTCTGAACACGTATCCTCCAATTTTTAAAATTATTTTTTCATGTATTTTCGAAATAAGAAGTACCGTGATATGATTTATGTGTACTCAATACGTCCGAATTAGTTTGAACATCACTCTGATTTCGCACGAAGATTTTTCTCAATTTTTGAATTAAATTTATCGTGATGTAGGAATAACCCAGAACAGGTTTATGGGTTTTCTTTGCAATTCAAAAATAAGATTCGACATTATTTGAAATATATACTCACATCCAAGTGATGGCCGGACACGGAAGAGCAAGAGAAGCAACGATTCCAATCACTAAAATCACTTTCGTGGGCAACATGCCAAAAATGAAGCATGTTTTCTGTTTTCTGCGCCATTTTCCCACAGTTTGCGTCGAATTAATCACTTCCTCACAATCCGGAATCATGTTTGAATTGCACATTCGGTTCAACATTGTCTTGCTTTTTTTTTTTGCGGCTCAATCACGAGGCAAATGAGTATAACAAGGTAACGGAAAATCGATCGCGGAATTTTTTCTGCAACACGTGAAAATCTGATGAATTTTTCGTCAGTTGCCGATTCAGCGATAAAAAAAACATGTTGTACTGCTCGAATTTTAACCCAAAAATTGGCAAAACGCTATTTGCACTATTTCACAAAAATGAAATTCATTTCGCATCGCAAATTTTGTTGTAGGATTGCTGCACCATTGAGTAACCTTCATTCAGAAAAAAATTAAAGAAAAATTTGAAAAAAATTAACCTGTTACGTAATCATATACGGAAAAACGAACACATTCTTGAATCATTTTCACATGGTAAAATAATTCAAGCACGTGTTTGTTTTTATTTGAAAGAAGGTTTCATTTTTTACTTTTGATATCTCAGACAAATTGAGCTCAAAATTATTCAAAATCTATTATTCATAATATTCAAAATTTATTTATATTCAAATTTATATTCTATTTATATAAAAAAATTATATTATATTTATATTCAAATTTATATTCCAAAATATTGAATAGAAATGTAATCTATTTCACAATTCAAAACAATCTGATTTTGTGCTTCTTTTTTCGGAGTTTTTTTTTATATCATCTGCTGTGCACATCATAGCAAGACTTTTTCTTGTTCTTGGCTGGTTGGGCTCCTTTTTATGAAAGAATATTCTATGCTTTTTTCTTCTGCACAGTTGTTTTCAATAACTTTAAGTTGTGGGAAACAATTTTTAATGATATTTTTGTAGGACTTATTCCTAGTTTTTGACAAACTGGAGAACCAATCACATATGTTTGCTTGTAATTTTATGGGAAAACAAGGTTTGACATTCAGACATTTCAACATATGGGGACAAGGTCCAATCACCATTACATCTTCATCTCAGGATCCCACTGTAGTTCCCATCAATTCACAGAGCTTACCAGCTGTGTAGAAAATAACTCCAATGATGAATGAAAAAAACATGGACAGTTTACATATTTGATTGCTAAAGGATTCAAAAGTGCATCTTTTCTGGATGTCTGCATCATGCCTTCACATAGGTCTTGCATATACTTCAGATTACTGAGATGATAGAAAAACACTCAAGACAAATTTTGAAAAAAAAAAATCAGCAAATCTTCATTTGAGAAAATAAGCATGGAATCAAGCACTTGTAATATCAATTTCACCACAGAACAACTCAGCACATGCACAAATCTCACACCAACTCAACATCCAATACCTTATTATTCCTCCACCAATAAGTGTTACTGCCTCAGCAGTGAAAATTTTTTTTAAAGTCAAAAAGATAAATAGAAAACACAGGGAACTCTGTGATAATTTTTAAATTCCATAATTGTTGGAAACCCTGTGCTGATATATAGTGAGCTCTAACTTTTTTTTTAAATAAATGAACAGTAATAAAAAATATCAATTCACAGAGCACACTGATGGTATAAAAAATAATGCAGGGTGGGATCAAAATAAATGCATTGACAGCTTTACAAATTTGACACTTCCTGGGAATTCAAAGACAGATTGTCTATACATCATGCTTCCACATAATTCTAAAAAATTTACAGAGCTTACAGCTGACATGATAAAAAGAATGCAAGAGAGACAAATTTTAATATAAAAATTGGCAAATCTTCAAGTTGAGGGAAAAAACCAGATATACCGTATTTACTCTGTAACCACAGATATACCTTAAGTACCACAAGCACCTTTTTCCCCAAATTTCAGAAGAAAAAAAGGGGTGCGCGTCATAAGCAAGTACAAAATTTTCAAGAAGTTTTAGGAAGTTATGTGTGCATTATACTTAATTATAATGGAGAAATTTTGAACAAATATAAGAAGTAATTATTTTTGTTCTGAAAAAGTTGAAAATTGATTAAATTTTTGTTCATTTCACGCCTCAAGTCAAAATTTTTGTTTTTATTTTTGAAATTTTATGGTTTTAGATTCACTAAAAATTGGGGTGCGTGTCTTACGTGGGGATACGATTTTGGCAAAATTTTCAACTGAAAAACCCGTTTGAGCACCTTACTTGAGGGCACATGGTACTGGAGTAAATACGGTATAAGAATCAAGCACTTGGAACACCCAACTTTCACAAGTAGAGAACATAACTCAATATATCCATCAATCTCACACACTCTCTCAACATCCAATACCTCATTCTTCCACCATAATCAAAAAGTGTTACCTGCCTCAGCAGGGAAGGTTTTATCAAGTTGAGGAGATAAATAAAAAGTGAGGGCAACTCTCTGTGAACATTTTTTTCAATCCTTAAATGTTGGAAACCCTGAGTTGATTTAATGTGCTCTCACTGTTGGGGTAGAGGAGAAAAAGAAAAAAAAAGGTATTGGTACAGCAGGTATATACAGTAATTGCAGGTGAAAAAGACTTCCACCTGCGAGGAAGACGCATTGGGATCTCCCGCATGGAACCCATGGGGCCCCCATCACACCACCCCGGGAATTTGCTCCAGCAGCAGCAGCAAACCCGTGCTAAGCTCCGCCCACAACGGGTTCGGTCTCCCGCGTACATCTCTTCCTTTTTCTTTCTGTTGCCCCTCCCACAGGGTGAACAGTTGGTTTCCTCAATTATTTTCTCGCATTTTTTAATTTTCAGCAGTCAATTTTTGGTAATGCAGTATTTTTTGAATGCTTTCCGTGTTCTGTTTTAAATAAGGCTGTTAATACCGAAGAGATTTTTCAGGTTGCCATTTTATTCCCAATTATTCTTGATGACCGCAGTAAGCGAATGATGAATAAACGTTCACTTTTGAAAAAATGTTTTTATTTTTATTTTCTAGAAAGATTTTATTTCTTTTGCGTAAATGCTGTGGCAACCCGCATTTAATGGAAACCTTGCATATTGTATTTTGTTAGCATCAGCAATAGCCACAATTGAAGCTACATTTCAAATATGATTACATGTACTGACAAAAAGAAAGTATTTTTCTCAAGCCTGACAGCACTCAATTTCCTTAATTGAGGCCTTCCCATTGATTCTCAGTTTCATCTTTTTCTAGATTTTTCTGGATTATTTCATTATTTACAGCCCTATAATCTTTTTTCACTGCACAATGTTCATTTTTGGCATTTTTTTTAGATTTTATAAAAACTATGCTCACAGCCAGATGTCCAGTTGTATTTTCATGTTGTATTGTATTTTCTTTTAAAAAAACAATAGTTAAACACGAAAGGACGAGACTTCACTAATAAATGTCATTGAGTGGATTTGGGTTGGGTGGGAAGGGGGTGTGGTTGTGGGAATCTTGATTGAACTTTGTGAACGCTGAAAATCAGCAAATAAAGAGTTCTGTTCATTCATTCATTCATGTTGAACAGGACTGAAGTGTTATAAAAACTATGCTCACAGCCTCAAAATCTCCCAAGGCAAAAAAATAAAAATGAAATTCAAGAATTTATGTGCTTTTGTCATTTGAAAAATATGACTTTTCATGCCTTTATATAATGAAAGGAGGATTTTGGGAAATTTTTTATGCAAAGAATGCTTTCATCACGAGCATATAGTTGCATTCAGAAACTGTTAGGGATTTCCCCAAAAAAAGGTTTTATGAATAAAACACCACAAACAGCCTGGGACTGACTGGGAGCCTCTTAATAGATATCAAGAATTTTATACACTATTTATTTATGTCTCAGAAGAATCAGCAACTCAGCATCTTCTTCAAGAAAAATACACACACACAATAATTCACACAATTTCTCAGAGAATTGGTTTAAGCGGTGGAAGCTAAGAAAAATTATGGGATTTTGAATGAGAATGTGCTGTTGATTTCAAGTTTTTGAGGCTTTTATGCAGTATTGAGGCAGGGTTGTGTTAAACTTGTTCTTGGTGAACGTTGGGATTCTTTTCTGCTTTCAGATTGGCCATTTATGTCAAAATTGTTTTGAAGTTTCTTGTGGGGGCAAGTTCTTTGGTGTTAGGCTCTCTAAACAAACCCCACCCCCAATTTCAGGGATGCAGGGCAGATTAATAAGTTTAATTACTGCTACATGCCACAGTATCCCCAACTGGAACACTACACATTAATTTGCTGAATTTAAACTAAGACATGCTTCAATATTGGTCAAATGTCACTTACCAAATCCTCTAGCTGACAGATTTGTTATCAATTTGTGCTTTCCTGCTCTGAAGTGATTAAAATGTCATTGAGTGGATTTGGGTTGGGTGGGAAGGGGGTTTGGTTGTGGGAATCTTGATTGAACTTTGTGAACGCTGAAAATCAGCAAATAAAGTGTTCTGTTCATTCATTCATGCATGTTGAACAGGACTGAAGTGTTATAAAAACTTTGCTTACAGCCTCAAAATCTCCCAAGACAAAAATTAAAAATGAAATTCAAGAATTTCTTTGCTTTTGTCATTTGAAAAATATGACTTTCCATGCCTTTATATAATGAAAGGAGGATTTTGGGAAAATTTGTATGCAAAGAATGCTTTCATCAAGACCATAGTTGCATTCAGAAACTGTAAGGGATTTCCCCAAAAAAAGGTTTTATGAAAAAAACACCACAATCAGCCTAGGACTGACTGGGAGACTCTTTATAGATATCAATAATTTTATATTTATTTATGCCCCAAAAGAATCAACAAATCAGCATCTTCTTCAAGAAAAATACACACACACACAATAATTCACACAATTTTTCAGAGAATTGGTTCAAGCGGTGGAAGCTAAGAAAAATGATGGGATTTTGAATGAGAAATGTGCTGTTGATTTCAAGTTTTTGAGGCTTTTATGCAGTATTGAGGCAGGGTTGTGTTAAACTTGTTCTTGGTGAAGGTTGGGATTCTTTTCTGCTTTCAGATTGGCCATTTATGTCAAAATTGTTTTGAAGGCTCTTGTTGGGGCAAGTTCTTTGGTGCTAGGCTCTCTAAACAAACCCCACCCCCAATTTCAGGGATGCAGGGCAGATTATATTCAAATTAATGACGATGTACGGTGTCATAGGGGTTGACCTTGTGATGTGTAATTAAACGACTTAAATTTGATTCTGTACGAAGTTATAACCAGTTTACAGTGAATGGTTTAGGAGATCGACTGTCCATTCAATACAAAAATAAATCAATTATGCTAAAAAGCTTCAAATTGGGTTTCAGTCAATTTAATTACCGCTCAAATTTTCAAATATTCATAAGTGTACAAAATCTGGCAGAATTGTGACATGAAAAAGAATAAGCATGGATTGAATGCCCATTATTTTCAAAGTTTGCAGTTTCCCTGCATCATTCGCCAAAGGAGGCATCCATGTTGCAATTGGACGATCAGCCAGCACTTCATCATTCTCAAACCTGTTTTCAAAATGAATGTTTCAAATTATTGTATTTATATAAGAGTAATAATAAATTTTTTTTAGCAATAAAAAGCATAAGTCATGTATCTTTTCGTTTATACCCGTAATAAGGTTGGTGTCTCCCGGTCAAATCAGTGATGTCGTTGTTGCATCCGTCGGAATCACACAAACAGAAAATGGCCTTTTGAATCAGAATTTTGTTGACGGGATCAGAGGATACATTGTGACGAACAATGCAACCGGGAATTGTTGAGGGTGTGTTGACAGGATCCAGAAACAAGCCCTGCATTTTAATATATGATACTGTACATAAATTATATGCTGCAGTTTCCTCCTATGAATGCATGAAGACTATGCTGCGTAAAATGAACACCATCTCTCGAAAATCTGCTAATTTTCAAAATGACACAGCAAACATAACATAACTGAATTACTTCACTGTAATTAGATACTGTGATAATCAGACAAACATTTTTGAGGGAATTACGGAAAATTAATTGAAATCGGGCTTATTTTCTCTTTTTCAATCTGAATAACCAGAAAATGATCTAATGACGGTGACTCGTTTGATCAACTTGAATGAAAAACTTAATTTTCACTAAGTAAAGGCGGCATAAAATGAACATCATCTCCTGCAATTCTTCGATTTTCAAATTTCAATGTGATAATTTTTCCAATTTTTAAATATCCAATTTTTAAATTTCCAATTTTCAAATTTCCAATTTTTAAATTTTCAATTTTTAAATTTCCAATTTTTCCAATTTTTAAATTTCAAATTTTTCCAATGTTTAAATTTCCAATTTTTCCAATTTTTTAATTTCAAAATTTTCCACTTTTTAAATCTGCAATCATCAATAGCCATAAATTTTCCAATTAAAAAATATAAAAATTTTTCAATTATCAAAATTCTTAATTTTTTAATTTTTGAAATGTTCCAATTTTTAAATTTTCAAATTTGTTACTTTTTTGAAAATGATGAAGTATGCTTTAGTCAAATGGCACAGAAAAAGTAAATGAACTAAAATAATGTAATCAGCAGACACTTTGTTGATCAAACAAACTAAATTTTTAGTGAACTTATTATTATAAAAATTTATTGAAAAAGGGGCTTATTTTCTCCAGAGTCCAGACTGAACAATATAAGGTCTTCTTTTGAATATTTTGCTTCATAAGTTCCATGAAAGTTTCATTTTCAGAAAATTGTAAGCCAAAAATGTTCCACCATGAAAGTTTCATTTTCAGAAAATTGTAAACAAATATTACAAATTATCCACTTTCTGATACTTCACAAATGACCAGAAAAAGTACCTGTTTGGATGTTGGATCCCCAGCACAGGATTTCTGCCAGCACCAAAAGCTCTTCTTGTCACATGATCCCAGTTGCCAAGTGCCAATACAAACCTTGCTTGCCACAGTCAAACAAAATGGGTTCTTCTCAATACTACAAGGCATCTTAATTCCAACATCCTCCTGAGAACAACTCTGTCTCGCAGACTCTCCTCTTTTCACATGAAACACTGCAATTTTAAAAAGAATTTGATTTAAAAATTTTCCACAATAGCAAAAATACAAAAATATGTCGAGATTTTACAATGATATTTGGGAATCCTCGCAGCGTCTTTCACGAATGTTGTTGCATTTTCACAAAAATTCCTGCCCTCTGTTCGACTCATACCACATTGGTAACAATTAGAGGTGTCGCGCAAATCACCGACCGCCAGAATCCCACTGCCAGAAGCCGTCAAAACCAAAAGAGCAACCCACATGATTTCATATGGTAGAAGGAGAGAAAAAAACAGCTTGAAGGCGGGGAAGAAGAAATCGGAGGCAAATTTTAGTAAGGTTTCACCACAACATTAAAAGATGGTACAATAGTTTTATGCACGCTAAAGATTCAGAATGCTGGACGAAAAATGCACCAGGTTCCCAGCAGTCACCTCTTATAAATTCACAATCCCTGAAATGAGTTATTTCTTTGTATATATAACTTCTGTAGGGTGGGTAGATTACCCCGTAGGACACACACAAAGATTGTTCTTAAGAAAGAATTGATTTCTCATCAAAGATTCTCTGTAATTTGTTCATTCAACTAAACCTCATACAGAAAAAAGCTGAAGACCTTGTACTTTAAATTACTTTTTACATGTATTTTTTACCAATGTCAGGGAATGAATGGGTGTATGCATACATGTCAGATGTCCAGTTGTATTTCATGTTGTATTGTATTTTCTTTTATTTTTGTTATCAATTTGTGCTTTCCTGCTCTGAAGTGATTCAAATGTCATTGAGTGGATTTGGGTTGGGTGGGAAGAGGGTTTGGTTGTGGGAATCTTGATTGAACCTTGTGAACGCTGAAAAGCGGCAAATAAAGTGCTCTGTTCATGCATTCATTCAAAGAAAGAATGGATGCAGGCTAAATTGATGAAGATCTTTTTTTTTAATGCTTCATACAAGCGATTTAGATCCCAGTACAGTACAGAAGCGCTGTCAACGATTTCTTTCAGCGTCCTCTCTCTAACCTCTGACGCCCATAACCGTGATGAAACATTTACATCAAGGCTAGATGTCACTCGTCGTTACATGGACATCCGCAATCTGCTCGATCCCACCGACTGAAACATGCCGAAAGCAAATAGATTTCAGAACTTCATAATGTTTTTCGTTCGTGCAGTGGAAAGGACATTTTAATTAACCCCACCTCATCACCGTGACAAGCATTTAGTGCTAATAACATCACGAGAATAACGTCCTCCATTCTTCACCCATTTTTCTGTACCGGCAGCTTCAATAAGGAAGTGACAATATATAATGGCGGAAAGAAGAATGGACAGCAGGAAGACCTCAAAATCCGAAACGAACCTCAGCAGGTTAAAAGCTTCCTACGGCAGCAGTCGATTGGCATTGAATGCTGTACAATACCAGCAATCGGTCTTGAACTTACTCGACAACCCTGCTGACGACAATGACGACAGCAGTGACGATGATGACAGTGACGACGACAGGTCGGGCTCAATCGGGATCATCGGAGGGGTTGTCATCCTGTGCAAGGCCGCCATGATTTCCGGCTTTATCGCTTTGCCCGGGATCATAGCTGAAGGTGGAGGGATCGCTTTTGCGATCGTCTCGCACTTGGTAAGACTGACTCCATCTGTTGATGATTGAAACTCGATCTCGTGATGCGATTAACTCGAGCGTCAAGTAGATGTCGCGCACTCGTATTTCCCGAAGTAACTTTTAAAATCCCGGAATGATAATGATATCATTAATGCTTCCTAGTATCCAGAGCATAACAAAATTCAAAGTTAAGCACGGATAGTAGCACTGGAAATCCAAACACTTAATTCGTATACTGTACTGATGTATATTCGGAAGAAGCGTACCCCACACGGTACTCATTTGAAGGATTAGCCGCAGTTTGAGTTACAGTTTTATAGTTTCAAGATAGATGTCGCTTGTATTCCGAGAAAATCCTCGATAACCATCACATTCGTTCAAGCATGCGAAATTTCACTGCGCATGAATTTGGAATTGAAACAAAGGTTTCTGTGTAGTTTTGGCTGGCATTGTCGGTCCCAACATTGCTCGCAATAGCTAATTTCGGAGAATTGATCGGGGCTCACCTGGATCCAGATTTACTGGCCCCGTTTAGCCAATGGTTGTACCTGTTCGCCAATGTGTGCTTGATGATTCTCACGATGGCGTACACTGTGTTGTGTTTAGTCAACGCTGGTGACTTTTTGTATGTATGTAAGTTGGTTTTCCTCCTTTTTCTATTTTCTACACTGTATTCAAATATAAATATATACACCATGAACAGGGGAACCAAAAAATAATAATGCAGGTGGAATCTCTCTACAATAAGGAACTACTTGTCCACAAACATTTTCTTAGATAACGATGTTTTTGCCATCCTCCATATAGTTTCTTGCCCCTCTGCTGGAAATTTTCTTCAGCATAATACAAAGTGTATCAAAATTTGGGAGGAAGTCCATTATCTTTAGCGCACAAATTTTGGGAAGACAATGGCAGGAAAAATCAACTGGTGAAAAAGAAAAGTTGGATTTTCTCATAATAATGCTTCAGAAAAAAATTTTCACGTGCTGAAATACTTCATTTAATTTTTTCATTCTGAGAAACCCTTCTTCAAACCCACCTTTCTAATTTCTTGAAGACATTCCCCTTTAGCTGCTTCATTGGTTCTCAACATGAATTAGGAAAATAAGTAGAAACGTTTTAAATCCCTGTCATAAAGAGTTTCAAAACGCTTTTTAGTTGCAAAAATGTTAGAAAACTTTGCTTAGAAATCCTCAGCTTTTTTTGCAAAAATTAAGAACAAATGAAGCAGCAAGTGGACTTAAAAAAACTAGAAATATGGGCTTGAAGAAAGGTTTCTCAGAATGAAAACTTTAAATAATTTCTTTGAGCACAGGACAATTAGTCAAGTGTTATTAGCAGAAAATCCAACTTCTATTACACTTCAGATAATTTCAAGCAAATGTCATCCTCTTTCCAGAATTTCAGATAGAGATGAAATTCATCCCTACTTCTGATAAATTTATTTCGCGGAAGAAAATTTCCTGCATACTGGCAAAAAATTCTGCCAGTCCTTGGAGGTTGGAGAAAACTAAAACAAAATTCTGAATTTGTTTGGTACCTTGAATTTCATTGTAGAAAAATTCTGTCTGTTCACAAAATATATTTTGCAGGTCACTTTCCATTGTTGCAGTGCTGGGACATTTTTGCACACTTATCATTTTGGTTTGACTGGAAATCACCAAAACACAGCTTTAGCTGAGTAACCAAAGTCTGGAAAACCCCAAGAAAACCCCAACATTGTTTTCACAATTCCTCCATTCTAATCCTGTGTCAGAAATGTAGAAAAAATGCCACCCACCTGTGAATAATGTTTTATGCAACTTTTTCTGAAGGAATGTAAAAACAAAATTGGGACTTTTCTGGACTGCACCTCCATGCTAGGTATTTCATTTTTTTCTTTTACCTGTGGCAAAAGATGTGTAAATAAATCCTGGCAGCCCCACCCAAGGATTATATGCAGTGATGTAAAGGCCATGGTTTAAAAATATTCAACCCCTTTAATTTTGGAATGATCATTTCAGTAATTTTGCACCTTGGTACGGATCCAGCATTCTGCTCGTTTGATTACATGATCCGTATTGCTGCAGTATCCATTGGAACTATATTTTTGGTTCTTCCATTCATCTTGCATGGCACTATGGATTTCATCAAATACAACAGGTGAATTTCTGCTACGTTTCTTCAGCATTTTGCCAAAAAGGGGCACAGAATACAGTAAAGTCTCTTCAAGTAGAACTTCAAGGAACCCGCAAAAAATTCAATTTTTGGAGATTTCAAGTAAGGGAAAGCCTTTGTGTTGAGGGAAAAAAGAAGAAATTGTAATTGGTGATATTCTAGGTCTTGAATTCCTATTTAAATGAGTTGACAGGATGGGGAACTTGAGGGCAAGGATTTTTTTGATCAATTAGTTTTTCACTTCATCATTTCAAAATGTTTCACATTATGCTTTTATTGATTTTCTCTTTTCTGTGTCAATAAAATCATAGCCAAAAGGTCTCGAAAAATTTGAGTATTGAGTTTGTGAGGTTTTTTAATCCATTGTTTCTGAGGAAATTCAGGCAGGGTCTTGAAAAAGTTTGACATAGGTTAGTTCAAGTTATTGAGGTTCAACTGTTCCATGAATTTAGTTTACAGTATAGTTCAAACTGCAGTTTGTATTTTAATATTTCCCACAGCTTTCTTGGGATGCTATGCGTTTTGTATGTTGTGGCCCTTGTCCCAACCAAGTATTGGACCAGCAGTGAACCAATTCCAGATGGGGTTCCATCAATAAGACTTTATCCCACCAATGTTGTGAAAACCCTGTTGTACCTAAGCTTGCTGATGCACAACTTTATGGTGAGTTTTGTGTCATTTTATTTTGATACATATCAGCAAATTTCTGAAAATTTTGCTGCTTCATTGATTCCTGAATCAAAATTTTGTGGAGCAGTTTCACTAAATCTGGTTTGTGCTGAAGTCAGCAAACATGCAATTCTTCATATACTTCAGTTTTAAAAGGCAGAACATCTTCAATGTGGCCTTAAAATAGAGACTTGATTTTGTCTGCCACTTAATCTACTAGTTTTCAGTTTTCACTCATGGATTCCAATTTTGGGAAGGCCTTTTTATTTGTGTCTATCATGAATTTAAAATGTGTTGAAAAAACCAAATAAAAGGCGAATTGGTTCACAGTGTGAAACTTTGCCTAAGGATGTTCCATGCCTATGAACTGCTCAAGTTATTGTTTTATATAGTTATACTGAAATTCAATGAAGAGACATTTTTGGAACTCTTAAAGGATCAAGAAAAATGTTTGGCCTTATATGATTTCTCATCAAAGATTCTCTATAAATTGTTCATTGAACTAAAACTCATACAGAAACAGGCTGAAGGCCTTGTGCTTTAAATAAACTTTTACTGCTGCTTTGTCTTCAATATTGGGGATGGGTGGGTGTCTGCAACATACGCGTAGGATGTCCAGTTTTTAGTTTGTAGAGTGTGTTCTCTTTTGTTTTTGTCATTGGTTTATGCTTTGTTTCATGCTTTGAAGTGATTGAATGTATTTTGGGGGAGTTGGGTGGGGTGGGGGGGGGGTTTGGATGCGGGAGTTTTGGTTGTACTTTGTGAACACTGAAAAGCGGCAAATAAAGTTTTCTGTTCATTCATTCATCCATACAGTTATACAGTATATGGTTAATTTGAGAGATTAATAAATAAAAAACAACACTAACAGATACATTTCTTCCTTGTGTCTACCATATGTCTATATAGTGCCATGTTGCAGTTATCCCAGTGTATTCCAGACTCAAAAACAGATCTCCAGACACGTGGTTTGCCATTGTGGTGGTGTCAATGGTCCTGGTGACCCTGTCCTATGGTATCATTGGCATTTTTGGGTACCTCACATTTGGAGACGTAGTCAGTTTTGACATTATCTCTGAATACCACATGGAAAGACGTCATGTGCTTGCTGCTCTCATAGCTATGACTGTTGTCCAGTTCACAACTTATCCCTTGTTCTTGTTCTGTGGAAGGTATCTTCACTTTTCCTGCCTTATTTTTTTGGGAAATGTTATCCTCTTTTTGACCGAATATCAGTGTGGAAATATGATCATTGTGCTTAAAGACTAGCAAGGATGAATCAAAGGGATATTGTGTTGAGGAATGCATTTTCTTCTTGATCCAGTAAGGGACTTTAAATTTAAATGCAGTACTTTATAATACTATTTGAGTATTTGTGACATTATGTAGAGCAATTCAGGCAGCTTGCATGATAGAAATTGAATTAAATTCAAATTGTAAACTGTGGTTTATACTGAGACCACAGTTACACACTAAGCAAAAGTGAAAGTGGATAAAAGTACAGCAAAAAATCTGACTTTTAAGTATACTGTACTGTACAGTTATCTGAATGACTACATGAATGCTTGATTGGAGATAAAATAGTGTACAGTAAATTACAGTACTTTTTGTTCATTTTACCAGCTGAAAATCTTCTAGCAAGCTAATTGAAAGTCATTAAAACAAAACTTGTAATTGCATCATTTACTTTATCATTATTCAGAGATACATCAGTGCTTTTCATCAATCCTCTCACATATTCAATTTATTTTTCTTAAAATATGAGTTCAAAATTGAAAGAAAACCTGGAATGAATAATTTTATGGGAAATATATCTGCAGATTTTGGTTTTTTTTTCTCCCAGGAGTTTTCATGTCGGGGTCTTAAAGAATGTATTTCATCAGCACTTCTTACACATGTTTATGTTTTTTTTAATTCTTGCATTGTATCCTCCAACAGAAACTCTTTTTGCAGTCATGCTAAAAATGAAGAAAGCCCTGCATAGATGAGAAGCTTGGGCAATAACTTACCCAGGTCTTCAAAATGATATTTTCATGTTTCTAAGCTTTTGGGATCATATTAAATAATTACATGTATTTTTTTTTTTGTTGCTGCAGAGAAGCTGCAATCAGACTGTACATGATAGTGAAAGATATACTAAATGGGAAACCATGGATGTTGCGCAAGGACACGAGCGACATCTCGTACAGGAAAATGCAAATAATAACCAGCGTTTCATGGTTATTCCTCTCCTTGACGCTCTCTATCGTCCCGTATATAAGATGGGTCTTACTCCCCTTGACTGGTCTCAGTGGCTTGTTCATGTTCGTGTTTCCAGGTGAGACATTTTTTGTCGTTTTTGCATCATTGAACCGTCGATTGTACGAAATCTCATCTGATGGGAGTTGATATTTTGTTTTTCTGAAAGGATTCATCATGGCGGGATTTGGACTTCCGGCTGAATTGCGAGAATCATTTCCAAGGAAGAGGATAGTTGGAGTCTCTTACATGATATTTGGAGTTTTGGCGTCCATAAGTTTATGTGCATCCAGTATTTACCAGGAAAATTATTCTGATTTATCATTATTCAGAGATACATCAGTGCTTTTCATCAATCCTCTCACATATTCAATTTATTTTTCTTAAAATATGAGTTCAAAATTGAAAGAAAACCTGGAATGAATAATTTTATGGGAAATATATCTGCAGATTTTGGTTTTTTTTCTCCCAGGAGTTTTCATGTCGGGGTCTTAAAGAATGTATTTGATCAGCACTTCTTACACATGTTAATGTTAAAAAAAAAATGCTCCTCGAACAGAAACTCTTTTTGCAGTCATGCTAAAAATGATGAAAGCCCTGCATAGATGAGAAGCTTGGGCAATAACTCACCCAGGTCTTCAATATAATATTTTCATGTTTCTAAGCCTTTGGGATCATATTAAATAATTCCTTGTACTTTTTTTTTGTTGCTGCAGAGAAGCTGCAATCAGACTGTACATGATAGTGAAAGATATGCTGTATGGGAAACCTTGGATGTTGCGCAAGGACACGAGCGACATCTCGTACAGGAAATTGCAAATAATAACCAGCGTTTCGTGGTTATTCCTCTCCCTGACGCTCTCTATCGTCCCGTATATAAGATGGGTCTTACTCCCCTTGACTGGTCTCAGTGGCTTGTTCATGTTCGTGTTTCCAGGTGAGACATTTTTTTGTCGTTTTTGCATCATTGAACCGTCGATTGTACGAAATCTCATCTGATGGTAGTTGATATTTTGTTTTTCTGAAAGGATTCATCATGGCAGGATTCCCTGAAGGCCGACTTAACGCTCTTAGTAAAGGTTCCTTCTCCTATCAACCTCAGAGAATGTACTATAAACCTCAAAACCGCAGGTATTCAAATACACGTAGGTCATAAATGGTCCTTTTAATAAGACCTTGGATGCGTACACCTGCGATTTGTGAAAAATGAGAGCTTGCAAAATATTTTTGAAATGTGGTGTCAGCTATTTTGTATTCTCATATCTCAGGGAAGTGACCCTATAGGTGAACCCCAAAAGTAAACCAATTTTTGACATAAAAGTAAAACATAAAGCTATGGCTACAAAAACCAAATGAAAGCTTGCTTGATTGCCTTTTGAATGGTGTGTATTTTTATGGCCACAGCAAGTGCAGAAGGGTGATCACAGGAACCATCTGAATGAAAAATTCCCAAGAAGAAAGTTGTCAGGCAACTCCTTTGAATGTGCTGCTATTATCCAGATTTGTTTTTTTAACCCTTGGGTGGCCTTGGGTTGATTTCCAGTGAGCAGCAGAGCTGGGGTATTTTTGCAGGCTTGCAAATTTCAGTTTGACTGAAGGTCATTGAAAGGCATGGCAGAGCCAGGATACTTTTGCAGCCTTGCACATTTCATTTTGACTGAAGTTCACTGAAAGGTAGCCTTGGCTGGATACGGTTTCAACCCTTTTTAGACCCCTTCAAATTCGATGTAACAATAAGTCTGGGGACGTCATGATGACATAAATGACATCATGGTGCACTTGGAAAAAAGAGTTTAAAAACTTCTTTTTTTTCCACGCAATCATAAGTGGGTACACATTTTTCAAGAAGTTTTAGGAAGTTATGTGTGCATTATACTTATGGAGAAATTTTGAACAAATGTAACAAGAAAACTTTCTTGTACTGAAAAAGTTGAAAATTGATCCAATTTTTTTCAATTCATGTCTAAAACCATTTTTTAACAATTTATTTTCAAAGTTTTGTGGTTTTAGATTCACTAAAAATTGGGGTGTGCATCTTACTGGGGTATAAGATTTTAGCCAAATTTCCAACTGAAAAAACCCCTCTATGCGCCTTACTCAAGGGCACGTGGTACTCAAGTAAATATGGTAATCATATAGTAGGAATGCTGGAAATAATGCCACCCAGCAGGGATTTGTGTTTATGAAAAAAATTTGTTTAAAACGGACGTCTTTTCGTAAATTTTTTAACCCTAAAAGGGGTCTAAAACGAGTGGACTGGCCTGTTTTTATAAAAAGTTAAAGACTACGACGTACCGTGGTTTAAGACGTTTTGTTTCCTGGCTCAACCTCTGAAGGGTTAAAGGAATGAAAGGGGTACAGGACCAGCAATTTAATCAGCAAAGTTCATGTTGCCTTCAACAAGGTGTACCCATTACCAAAATTCAGGCAGTGGGGTCAAATATGTTCATTGGTCAGTTTTCAATAAGTTCTAACTTCCTGATCATCACAAACAGAAGAAATGAAAATAAGAAAGAAAAATTCACTGCTACAGATGAAAATTCACCTTGTTGGGCACATGTTTACCTGATTTTTGTGATTATACAAGTGGAACTGATTATGTCATTTTTTGTCATTGAAAATAGAAAAAAATTACATTAATTGAAATAGTTTCTGCCAAAGTGGACAAGTCTTCTGCAAGGAAAACTCATCATTGGCCTGCTATTCACATAAATAAAAATGAAAGGCACAAGAATAAAAGGGTTGCAGTTCCAGTCCATTTCTTTCTTATTTACATCACCACATATTGTAGAAAAAAACTCAAAGTCGCATGTTTCACTTCATTTTTCTTTCATGAATAATAAGCCGGGAAAAGATCCTCGCGTAGCAAAGGAACCCCCAGTGAGGAGGTCACATTCCCATCATCATCAGCCCCATTATTATTATTATTATTCCCAGCAGGACCTCCTCCTCCAGCAGATTCCGCAAAAAATATCCTGCCGTCCCTCGCAAACGCCTTCTTGATCGCATCGGCTGTGCAAACATGCGCAGTAGTGTTTGGCTCATACAGCAAATTCACCAGCTTCATTTGCTTGTACAACACGGGCAGGGCACTGCCCAGGTCACCCCTTGACCCGAGTCGGGCATACACGAGGTCAAATTCCCGGGCAGCGTCAATCATTTCGCGCACGTACGGGTTGATGTCGAATCCGCAGTCGGTGCAGATGCCGAATGAAATGCCCCTTTTGCACTTGGGACACCGGAAGCTGGACTGGGTTCGCAACAGGGCTTCGCCAGTGGGCCAGTCGTTGACACAGGCTCGGCATTTGCAGGAAAAGTTGAACTGGAAGCCGAGTTTGGCAGCTCGCACCGATCGCTTGTCCGAGGCGAAATTGCAGGTGTAGCAAATGGTCACTTCTTCACCTATTTTATTTTTAGAAAAGGCAAAAAAATGTGAGTGTGGCGGAAATCATTAAAGCGATTCTCTTGGCGCGATTTCAGCAAAGCAAGATATATAATAGTGGGTTGTCTGCTGCTGCTGCTGTAACCTGTTTTAGTTTTAGTGTTTTGTGCGCAGAAAGCAATGTCTGAGCCAAGATGATGCTAGAAAATTCTCAAATTGCTTTGGGTTGCCCTGCATTTCTTTTATCTTAGACCAGGAAAGAGAGGAGGATATAAGGTTATTTTAGCTGCTAAAATTTAGCACATGGTTTGCTCACCCTTGGATGCCAACCTAGAGCCAGTGGGGACCTGGTTTTGTGTCTGATTTATTAAAAATTTTGTGAGGCTTTGGTTTTTTCACAATGATTTCAGTGTTTAGTTCTCAAATATAATAGTTTGCATGCAGGAGTCTTGGTTGTGCCTTGTGAACGCTGAAAAGTGGCAAGTAAAGTGTTCTGTTCATTCATTCATTCATTCATTCAATATAAAAGGGATGATTTTTGTTCCCAAGAACCAGAACATCATAAACTATGACATTGGAAGGTTCCCCCCATTTTGGAATTCTTGGAATTTGGTGCTTTAATTAAGAAGTTGTGAGCAGAGTCTGGCCTAATATTTCTTCTAACATCTGGCTTCTTTTAACCCTTAAGTGGCAAAGTTGGACTTTTTTGCAGATTTTGAGTGCACTCAAGAATGGCATTGAAAAAAAAACATGACAGTGCATCAAGAAAAATCCTGGTATTTTCAAATTTTCACCAGAATAATTGCTCTTAAAAATGAAAAAATTTATCTCCAAGGCTTACTTTTTTCCCCTGGCCGTATTTTGTTCCCCCATTCAAAGATAAAATTCAAGCTTGAAAGCCAGGAGCCCATGCTAAAGGTCACTACAAAAAAGTCCAACTTAGGACTTTCCCAGCATTTCATTTTTTCTGGATAAAATCTGACTTTGCCCTTCCCTACCTGCCTGGGGTTGCATATTGTTGAAAAATTAAATGCAGACCCAAGGGGAAAATTTCAAATTTGCTCTGGGATGGAAAGGAGGCGGCTGCCACATTCAAGAGTTATTAAAGCCCACCACCAGCTTTCCATCAAAAGTGTAATGTGAAAACCAAACTACAAGCAAGATTCACATTAAAAAGAAAAGGAAATACATAAAATAACCTCTGGAGATGGGGACCACTGCTCTGACCACAATGTGACCAGTATCCACATAGTCCCAGACTGCACAATAAGTGCAGGCATGGTTGAAAAGGTTGACTGTGGCTACTGCAGCTTGACCAAATTGCCTGTAGGTGAACATGGGAGCAGCAGAATTGTCCCTGAATGTGACCAGGGTTTCTGAAAGTGCTAATCTATTGTTTTTCATTGCAGTGGTGTGGTAAAGTATTTGTTTTCCCACAAACTTCATGACCTCCAATTTTCCTGTTGAAATATAAATTGGAATTTGAATTGAGAACAGTTAGTTCTAAGTCCTGGGAGTGTATGATTCAAGCAGTTGAACTTTCTCACCATACATGCCATACATGTTAGTGACTTCCTTTATATTACTGGTCTATTAAAACTGCGCATATACATTTATATCATGCTGTGAGTCACAACTGATCCTGATAACATTATTCAACCTGGAACCAAGACTCATCAGGTCAAATAAAATAAATACATCAGTCATTGAATGAGTTTCAAACAAACCAACTAAGAGAGCAAAATCACCAGCAATAAATTTTTTTTAGAAAACTGATGCGTTCAAAATATACCATAGTTCAAATACATACAAACAGCTAAAAATGTGTTTTGCAATTTGAAACCAAAAATACAAAAGAATACCTTGAAAACAGAACAATGATGCATGTTTCACCAACTGTATTAAAATCAATTGACAATACATTTGGAAACCATTTGTCATGGATATAAAGAAGGATTTGCATGAGTAGGCTTTCATTGTGGATATTTGAGTCATGTTGGAGAGGCAGAGATGTTGTTAGATGCAAATTTTTAAGTTCAAGGTTAAAAAGTTTTACTTTCTTAACGAACTTTACAAAACCAAAAATAAGTTAATGAAGGACAATAGTTTTGTGACAGGTAGACACAACATTCCGATTGCAACCAAAATAAAAGATGACTTACTTTCATCATCATGGGAGCAATAATCAAAGACTTCAGCATTGTCCAGCACATGCAACACATAAGCAGTCATGAGGGCATTCATGAAATACTCCTGCTTACTGCACAGTTTCCTATGATCAGGCAAAGCAGTGTAAGCCAAGTAGTTACTGGTATCAAATGGTTCCATTGGCAACACTGCACTCTGCCTCTCAGCAAGTAAAATGGCGTCCTTGCTTTTCCAAATATCATAGACACCAAAGCTCAGAACCAGTTTGACAGCAAGTAGCAAGTTCTCAGTCAGGGAATAATCTGCCAAATTGCTAATCATCCTGCATTCCAACAAGTGTTTTTGGGCATTCCAGCTTTCTGCATAACATTCTGATGAGCAGAACACTACCTGAAAGTTTCAACCACAATTATTCACTAGCAACAGCACAAGCGCAAAAACTGGGTTCGCAACAGGGCTTCGCCAGTGGGCCAGTCGTTGACACAGGCTCGGCATTTGCAGGAAAAGTTGAACTGGAAGCCGAGTTTGGCAGCTCGCACCGATCGCTTGTCCGAGGCGAAATTGCAAGTGTAGCAAATGGTCACTTCTTCACCTGTTTTTTATTAATAGAAAAAACAAAAAAAAAAAAAACGAAAAGAGTGAGTGTGGCGGAAATTATTGAAGCGATTCTTTTGCCAATTTCAGCAAAGCAAGAACGTATAATAGTGGGTTCTCTGCTGCTGCTGAAACCTGTTTTAGTTTTAGTGGTTTTGTGCGCAGAAAGCACTGTTTGAGCCAAGATGATGCTAGAAAATTCTCAAATTGCTTTGGTTTGCCCTGCATTTCATTTATTTTAGAACAGGAAAGAGAAGAGTAAATGAGGTTATTTTAGGGCATGGTTTGCTCACCCTTGGATGCCAGCCTGGAGCCAGTGGGGACCTGGTTTTGTGTCTGATTTTTTAAAAATTTTATTGTGAGGCTTTGGTTTTTCTCACAATGATTTCAGTGTTTGGTTCTAAAATATGAAAGGGATAATTTTTGTTCTCAAGAACCAGAACATATTAAGATATGAAATTGGAAGGTTCCCCCATTTTGGAATCCTTTGAATTTTGTGCATTAATAAAGACGTTGTGAGCAGATTGAGTCTGGACTAATACAGTGAGACCCCCAGATGTGGACATAATTGGTGCATCAAGAGTATCCCTATGTTGGATTGTCCCCAAGTTGAATCTTGTTTTCCCATAGACTTACATTGTATAATTTTTAATTGGTGTTTTATGGAAGAAATATTCTTCAGAATTTCATGAAAAAACNAATTTTTAATTGGTTTTTTATGGAAGAAATATTCTTCAGAATTTCATGAAAAAACAATTTTGCCACTTGAATTTGATTCAATGAATATCTTTTCAAACCAATAAGAACATATGGAACATTGAATAGTGTACCGCTGTACAGTAAATTCAAAAGTTGGCATTTGGAAAAAAAAAACATCCATGTCACAAAGATAGCTAGAAGGAAGTCCCTTCTGTGCTATATGGGGCATTTTTAAAATTAGCTGAATGGATTGGAAAATGATGGGAAAAGTACCCAAGAAATTTTCTTGCATAGATCTTAGGTTGGAAACATCTGTTTCTTGCAATTAAGCCTTATAAAAATTGATTTTCCTAAATTTATTTTGGAGTTTTATCCTGCAATGTCCCCAGGTTGAGTCAGTGTTCTCATGTTGGGTCTTTTTATATGATTTTTTTGTTAAAAATAAATGTCCCCATGTCAAATTGTCCCCATGTCAAGGCGTCTGCATGTGGGGGTCTCACAGTATTTCTTTTTAACCCTTCAGTGGCAAAGTTGGACTTTTTTGCAGATTTTGAGTGCACTCGAGAATGGCATTGAAAAAAAATGACAGTGCATCCAGAAAAATCCGGGTATTTTTTAATTTTCCAGAATAATTTTACTTAAAAATGAAAAAGTTGATCTTATTCAAGGCTTATATACTTTTTCCCCCTGGCCTTATGTTGTTCCCCCATTCAAAAAATTTAAGCTTGAAAGCCAGGTCCCCATGCTAAAGGTTGCTACAAAAAAGTCAAACTTAGGACTTTCCCAGCATTTCATTATCCCTGGATAAAATCAGTGAAAACCAAACTACAAGCAAGATTCACATTAAAAAGAAAAGGAAATACATAAAATAACCTCTGGAGATGGGGACCACTGCTCTGACCACAATGTGACCAGTGTCCACATAGTCCCAGACTGCACAATAAGTGCAGGCATGGTTAAAAAGGTTGACTGTGGCAACTGCAGCTTGACCAAATTGCCTGTAGGTGAACATGGGAGCAGCAGAATTGTCCCTGAATGTGACCAGGGTTTCTGAAAGTGCTAGTCTATTGTTTTTCATTGCTGTGGTGTGGTAAAGTATTTGTTTTCCCACAAACTTCATGACCTCCAATTTTCCTGACAAAATATAATTTGGAATTTGAATTGAGAACAGTTAGTTCAAAGTCCTGGGAGTGTATGATTCAAGCAGTTGAACTTCCTCACCATACATGCTTGGGGCTAATGACTTCCTTTATACTATTTACTGGTCTAGTAAAACTGCGCATATAAATTTATATCATGCTGTGAGTCACAACTAATCCTGATAACATTAATCAACCTGGAACCAAGACTCATCAGGTAAAATAAAATAAATACATCAGTCATTGAATGAGTTTCAAACAAACCAACTAGGAGAGCCAAATCACCATTAATAAAAAAATTTCAGAAAACTGATGCGTTCAAAATATACAAGCAGTTTAAATACATAAGAACAGCTAAAAATGTGTTTTGCAATTTGAAACCCAAAATACAAAAGAATACCTTGAAAACAGACATGCATGTTTCACCAACTGTATTAATATCAATTGAAAATACATTTGGAAACCATTTGTCATGGATATATGAAAAGATTTGCATTAGTGGGCTTTTATTGTGAATATTTGAGTCATGTTGGAGAGGTTCTCTACAACAATCTACGTTTAAAAATTCAAGTTCCAATTTTTCAAAATGAAAGAATTGCTTGAAATGTTTTGGTTTTTATTCAATTACTTCCTGTTATCAAAACACTGTCCATCTGTGTTGTAAGGGATTGCAACCAAAATAAAAGATGACTTACTTTCATCATCATGGGAGCAATAATCAAAGACTTCAGCATTGTCCAGCACATGCAACACATAAGCAGTCATGAGGGCATTCATGAAATACTCCTGCTTACTGCACAGTTTCCTATGATCAGGCAAAGCAGTGTAAGCCAAGTAGTTACTGGTATCAAATGGTTCCATTGGCAACACTGCACTCTGCCTCTCAGCAAGTAAAATGGCGTCCTTGCTTTTCCAAATATCATAGACACCAAAGCTCAGAACCAGTTTGACAGCAAGTAGCAAGTTCTCAGTCAGGGAATAATCTGCCAAATTGCTAATCATCCTGCATTCCAACAAGTGTTTTTGGGCATTCCAGCTTTCTGCATAACATTCTGATGAGCAGAACACTACCTGAAAGTTTCAACCACAATTATTCACTAGCAACAGCACAAGCGCAAAAATAATTCTTATAAGTTATATTTTATGCAAATTTGGAAGCAAAATCTACTGGAATGAAAATGCAACAACCACTGTCATATTGGGAGTTGTATTTCAGTTTTTGTATTCTAGAAGCAAAAATACAATCAGAGGAATTCAAATACAGTATGTATGCTAAGTGATATACAGTGAGACCCCCACATGCGGACACCTTGACCTGCAGACAATTTGACATAGGGACACTCATTTTCCCAAAAAAATAAATAAATGAGGCCCAACATGAGGACACTGACTCAACGTAGGGACATTTTGTGATAAAATTGCAACTGCATTTCAGTCCTAATTACAAGAAACAGATATTTCCAACCCTAAAATTGATGTGAGAAAATTTCTTGGCCATTTCTCTCACCAAATTACCATCCACTTAGCTAATTTAAAAAAATTACCTCCAGCATAAAGGGACTTCTACTTTTTTCACTTGAATGTTATTTTTGTAGATGCCAAAATTTCAGTGTACGGTACAGAGATTCACTATTCAATGCTCTAAATGTTCTCATTGAGTTGAAAATGTATTCACTCATTCAAATTTGAGTGGCAAACAATTTTTTTCAGGGAATTCAGAAGAATATTTCTTCCACAGAACACCAATTAATAAGTATATAATGTAAGTCTATGGGAAAACAAGACTCGACTTAGGGACATTTTGACTTGGGGACACTCTTGATGCACCAATTACGTCAGCATCTTGGGGGTCTCACTATCAACCATCTTCCCTCACCATGGAACAATGGATGCATGGCCAAGGCACAAAAGTCCTCTGAAGGCAATTATTGCACCACTCAGTCCAACTCTTTGGTCGCACACAAACAGCACCGGGCTTCTCAGACACCAGGACTTCTCCTGCACAGAGATGCTGAAAACTTAGCAGCGACACCTATGCAACAAATTAAAAAAACGCACCCGGTTCGATGTTTCTCGTCGCCGTGATGAAACGCCCCCTGTCCTCGCTGTGTCCCAGCGAAATTGCGCAACTCGCGTCCAGTAATTGAGTACTGGGTCTGGTTACGGACAATCGCTCAATTTTTGCACGCCGGGTTTCGTGGGTCGGTGGGCTAGTTTTCGCAGTTTCCTCAATCAAAGTTTTGAGAAGCTTCAGTTCCGGTTTCTGGCTCGCTTCGAGCGGGCCTGAAGACTCGCACTCCTTTTTGCGGAACTCTTCAAAGTGCAGCATTCCTTGATCCAAATTGCGCAGTTTCAAGTGGCACCAAGAGCGAAGGAAATCGATTTCTTTCGAGTCAGTTGCATCCGGTCGAAATTCTTGTACACTGTATAGGTACAGCAATAAAGAAAATAAAGCAAAGATGATTATGGGAAATTACAATATTATTCAGCAAACTTCAAAATATGTTAATCTTTTGGATAGAAGCAAGAGATTCCATTCAAACATCCTTTGTTTACTAGAAAAAACTGACATCTACCCAAATCCATACAATCTGGAGGATATAAAAATGCGCATAAATAATGAAGCAAAGTTGTTTAAAAAATTTCAGCAGATCCAATACTTATAATATTGAAAAACTGCCTAAACTGTCAAGTATACCAAAACCAACCCCAAATGAAAAATGTTTGCAAAAAGCTACCATTTTTTAAAACATACAAAAACTATTCATTTGTTAAACCCTGGAACTTATCCCTGCGAATTTATGCTTCAAATGCTGTACATGTGGTACCTTGCAATTTGATGCCTTGCAATTTGACCATCCCGCATTTCAACAGTTAAATTTGCTGGGAAGTCAACTTGCAATTTGACCTATTGTCCCATAATTCAACCTGCAAAGAGACTCGATATGCCAAAGTCGATTTAGAAAACATCAAATTTGACATTGTTTTGCAATTCAACTTTTTCACAATTTGACCTTCACCTGGCAGTTGATTAAGGTCAAATTGTGGGGCACCACCTGTACAAGTCAACCCCCAGAAATCAGCATATATAAAAATTAGTGAATGAATGTGATAGTTTTTTATGAAACTTTTACCATAGGGAAATCAATGAGCAATTCTTGTGAAAAAGAATCCAAAACATATATTTGGGAAGACTTTAAAAACATATAATGACTTCAATAAATTAGAAACCACAGTATAAGCGCCCCATAAAATATGACTGATTCACCTGAGGCTGAATTTACTGTGCTGAAAACTATGAAAAATCTGAAAATGTTCAAATCTGAAGCATAGATGCAACATACAAGAATATGAAGGTTTAGGCATATTATGAATTTTTGCAGATTGTTTTACATTTATTACATTATTATAGAAAAGTATCGTTTCTATGGACCCTCCAAAGCATCTACTTGATCAGAAAGTTACAGGAAACTTTCATGAATATAACAATAAATTGATGAATAAATGATGACCATGCATTCATCAGGCTTTTGACCAAAAACCCCTCCCATAAAATCATCATAACCAGGACAATATAATGACAGGCTCACAAATCCAAGGCAACAAGAGCAGCAGTGAATTCTTGCAATTCCAGACAAGAGCTGACAAAGCACAAAAATGCTTGAGCCAAGACCCAGCTTTTGCCCTGCTCATCCCGCTCAGCATGCCGTACCGCAAAGTTGAGGTACGGCAGTGCAGCCTTGGCCGGTACGCCAGCCCTCTTGGCCCCAAATGCAGCGTCAAGGGCATCCCTGGCCACTTTGTCACACTTGCTGGCCCGCCAGGCCACTGGGGGCATATCCTCAAAAATGCTGCTTTGCAGAAGGATTCCCACTGCGTCTCCAGTGTCCTGCAATGACTCAAACTGTTCCTGGAGTCTGTCAAATTCTCCTGTTTCTCTCAGTCTCTCAGGGTATCTCCTGAAAAACAAAATTTAAAATTGTTTGTCATAATGGTCTCACTTTCACACACACAGTGCCTAAGTAAAAAGGTGCAACTCATAGCTGTTCTTATGGAAATTGGGTACCTACTTTCCTGTTATATCTGTACCTTCCCTCTGACCAATTTAACCTGATCTAACCTAACCTAACTTCACCTAACTGTCTCCCAAAATCAGTTTCTGCTTTCTTTGGGTTTCTGCTGAAACTGATTTTGAGAGGCGACGTTAGGTCAGGTTATGTTAATTAAAATATATTTGTAATTAACATAACCTGACCTAACCTAACTTTACCAAACCACCAGCAAAAATCAGTTTCAGCAGAATGCGGAAAAACAAATTCACAGTTNTTCTTGTGAAAAAGAATCCAAAACATATATTTGGGAAGACTTTAAAAACATATAATGACTTCAATAAATTAGAAACCACAGTATAAGCGCCCCATAAAATATGACTGATTCACCTGAGGCTGAATTTACTGTGCTGAAAACTATGAAAAATCTGAAAATGTTCAAATCTGAAGCATAGATGCAACATACAAGAATATGAAGGTTTAGGCATATTATGAATTTTTGCAGATTGTTTTACATTTATTACATTATTATAGAAAAGTATCGTTTCTATGGACCCTCCAAAGCATCTACTTGATCAGAAAGTTACAGGAAACTTTCATGAATATAACAATAAATTGATGAATAAATGATGACCATGCATTCATCAGGCTTTTGACCAAAAACCCCTCCCATAAAATCATCATAACCAGGACAATATAATGACAGGCTCACAAATCCAAGGCAACAAGAGCAGCAGTGAATTCTTGCAATTCCAGACAAGAGCTGACAAAGCACAAAAATGCTTGAGCCAAGACCCAGCTTTTGCCCTGCTCATCCCGCTCAGCATGCCGTACCGCAAAGTTGAGGTACGGCAGTGCAGCCTTGGCCGGTACGCCAGCCCTCTTGGCCCCAAATGCAGCGTCAAGGGCATCCCTGGCCACTTTGTCACACTTGCTGGCCCGCCAGGCCACTGGGGGCATATCCTCAAAAATGCTGCTTTGCAGAAGGATTCCCACTGCGTCTCCAGTGTCCTGCAATGACTCAAACTGTTCCTGGAGTCTGTCAAATTCTCCTGTTTCTCTCAGTCTCTCAGGGTATCTCCTGAAAAACAAAATTTAAAATTGTTTGTCATAATGGTCTCACTTTCACACACACAGTGCCTAAGTAAAAAGGTGCAACTCATAGCTGTTCTTATGGAAATTGGGTACCTACTTTCCTGTTATATCTGTACCTTCCCTCTGACCAATTTAACCTGATCTAACCTAACCTAACTTCACCTAACTGTCTCCCAAAATCAGTTTCTGCTTTCTTTGGGTTTCTGCTGAAACTGATTTTGAGAGGCGACGTTAGGTCAGGTTATGTTAATTAAAATATATTTGTAATTAACATAACCTGACCTAACCTAACTTTACCAAACCACCTGCAANTCAGTTTCTGCTTTCTTTGGGTTTCTGCTGAAACTGATTTTGAGAGGCGACGTTAGGTCAGGTTATGTTAATTAAAATATATTTGTAATTAACATAACCTGACCTAACCTAACTTTACCAAACCACCAGCAAAAATCAGTTTCAGCAGAATGCGGAAAAACAAATTCACAGTTCCTGGTAGGTCATCGTGATTATGAACTTGTCCTAAAGATTTTTCTGGATGGTAGTGAGCTAGGTCTAGGAATGAGGTACAGAGATAACAGGAAAGTACCAAAAATTGAAAAAAAAACAAAATTGAGTACCTTGCAAACCTGGTAGAAATTACAACCATGTTTTCATGTGGTGCAATGACAATTTTTAGAGTCAGTTCCTGTTCTTTTCAACCACAGCAGTTTCAATGAAAAGGAAGGACTAACCAATAACAATCAACTGAAACAAAGTTCATTTCAACGTGAATTCACACAATCAAATTTCATAGTGTCCTCATCTTTGAAAATTTTGGCCACTGGAATGGAAACTGGCATGAGTTTCACTTGAAGGGAAATTATTTCTTGCTCAAAATTTTTAATTGAAAAATTTAGTTGAGTGTATATGCCATCTTGATCTTGAGATTTATCTGGAAGAATAGCATATTTTCTATAGAATATATCAAAGAAATTCTGGTAATTTCCTGTTATCTCTGTACCTACTTTGATGTTATCTCTGTACCTTCCCATCAGTTTCTGCTTTCTTTGGGTTTCTGCTGAAACTGATTTTGAGAGGCGACGTTAGGTCAGGTTATGTTAATTAAAATATATTTGTAATTAACATAACCTGACCTAACCTAACTTTACCAAACCACCTGCAAAAATCAGTTTCAGCAGAATGCGGAAAAACAAATTCACAGTTTCTGGTAGGTTGTCGTGATTATGAACTTGTCCTAAAGATTTTTCTGGATGGTTGTGAGCTAGGTCTAGGAATGAGGTACAGAGATAACAGGAAAGTACCAAAAATTGAAGAAAAAACAAAATTGAGTACCTTGCAAACCTGATAGAAATTACAACCATGTTTTTATGTGGTGCAATGACAATTTTTAGAGTCAGTTCCTGTTCTTGTCAACCACAGCAGTTTCAATGAAAAGGAAGGACTAACCAATAAAAATCAACTGAAACAAAGTTCATTTCAACCTGAATTCACACAATCAAATTTCATAGTGTCCTCATTTTTGAAAGTTTTGGCCACTGGAATGGAAACTGGCATGAGTTTCACTTGAAGGGAAATTATTTCTTGCTCAAGATTTTAATTGAAAAGTTTAGTTGAGTGTATATGCCATCTTGATCTTGAGATTTATCTGGAAGAATAGCATATTTTCTATAGAATATATCAAAGAAATTCTGGTAATTTCCTGTTATCTGTGTACCTACTTTGATGTCATCTCTGTACCTTCCCTCTGACCAATTTAACCTGACCTAACCTAACTTCACCTAACCGCCTCCCAAAATCAGTTTCTGCTTTCTTTGGGTTTCTGCTGAAACTGATTTTGGGAGGCGGTTAGGTAAATTTAGGTTAGGTCAGGTTCTGTTAATTAAAAGATATTTGTAACTAACATAACCTGACCTAACCTAACTTTACCTAACCACCTTCCATAATCAGTTTCAACAGAATGCAGAAAAATAAAATTCACAGTTTCTGGTAGGTCATCATGATTATGAACTTGTCCTAAAGATTTGCCTGGATGGTAGTGCGGTCTAGGAATCAGGTACAGAGATAACAGGAAAGTACCAAAATTCCAACTTGAAAAGAAGTATTTGCCAAAATGCGACCATGATGCATAAATCAAAGTAAAAATACCATCTACCAATGCTCCAATAATGTTGACCACGAAAAAGAGAAGAAAAACAATAAATCTAGAAACTTTTGAATCCACCTGAAAAATTCGAGTGTCTCCTGAAAGCTGTTCAAGTCAAAGTCCTGTCCTGGTTCCGCGTGACCCGTCACATCCGCTTTCTTCCGTTTGAAAATTTGATGCAGATTAAGAATCACTGCATCGCACAGCAACATATTTGTGCGATCACACTGAACCCCAAAATAAACAACTGGGTCCTCCCAAAAAATTTCCAGCAATTACAACAAAAAAAGAATCACGTCGGGTCTGTACAAAAAAAAAATTAAAGGGGGAAAAAGAAGAGTTTTCCAGTGATCCCTTCTGTTCATTATATGAGCCCAAAAATCAGCGTCTTCCCACCTTCAATATGTTTTTTTTCCCATCGTCGAGGAAAGAATTTATTCGTTATTTATTTATTCCCGTGATATTTTTTTCTTCTCGAAAGGACGTGTTTTGAATGAGATTTGAATAGAAAGTATTGAGGAAGAAAGGCTAATTTTTTCATGGTTGAAGCGATGGCTGCGTATTTTTGCGCGTGGATTCGCAGTTTTAGAAAGCCGTGCAAACTTGCGTTTTACAGCATTTGTGTTTTGGCTTTTTTCTGGATTTTTTTGAATTCGCACTCAGGGAATGTTTCGTTCACTGGTAAGATTATCAGATTTTTCTACAAGTTCAACAAGCTTTGTTTCGAAAATCGCTTTGCAATAATAACAAGTGCATTAGAGTTTTGTCAAGTCAAAACTTGTTATGATGTTGATAATTGCCCTAATTTTATTTTCCTGGTAATCACTGACTAATCTTCTTGAGCAAACTTAAATTCAAATTTTCCTAGCACAATACGTTTTGAGTCAAACCTCCCTCATAGTCAATTATTTTAATAAGATTTTTTGCTGATTAAATTGGGGCTAGATTTTAGATTCTGGCATAATGAAGGGCTTCTATAAAATGTCTAGACAATAAAAAAGTCAGATGCAAGAGATTTATAGATCGTCTTTCCCTTCCAATTTAAAATATTCAATCAATGGTATAACATTTGGTTGACATTTTCCAACCAAAAGTCAAACTGTACTTTTGTGCATTTCAAACAATCTTTCTCTATGTACAGTATGTATTAAAATACAGTTCTTCTTACTGAACAAAAGTCACATGAAAAAATTTTCGCTAAACAAAATAATAGAGACTCATCATAATAGTTGACATTTGCTAACCAGCACAAGTCAAACTGTTCCTCTGTCTGATAAAAAAAATCTGTCTCTATGTACAGTATGTACTACAATGCAGTTTGTCTTACTGAACAAAAGTCACATACAAACATCTTTGCTAAACAAAATAAAAGTGACTCTCCCTGACAAAATGTTTTTGGCAAAAAACTGCTCAAATTTTAGCAAGTTTTTATTTATAGAAAGTTGAAAATTTTTTTAAATGAAGAAAAATACTTATGAGAAGTGAAGTTTGGCTTTTTCTAGTTCTACTGTATATATTTTTGATTTCAAAAATATTGATTTTCAAAAGTTTGATGTGTCAATTTCGACTGGCTAAGTTTAACCACACATTTTTTTTTACAAAGGAGTAACTTGCCAAGATTTACAGTTTTTCTTGATTGTTATCAATATTTTTGATCAAACACTTCAATATTTTGATGCATAGCTGAAGGGAAATCATATTTCAAATAAACAAATGTATCCATGAACAGCTACTGGTGGTACCTCACAACTTGACCTCCCACAATTTGATGGTTAAATTTGCTGTGAGGTCAACTCACAATTTGACCTAGGCCCTGCAATTTGATCCTCAGAGATGGGCAAGCGTGCCAAATACAATTTAGAAAACATTGCATTTGACGTTGCTTTGCAATTTGACAACTTTGAATTTTTACCCTATAGTCCAGTAATACAGATCAGGTTCAAATTGCAGAAGCATCTCCTACAATTTGAGTTCATTCATGTGATGGATGTGATGTGTACATGCCTACTACAAGCAAGAGTGACAAAAGACTTTCATAAATAGTGAAAAATATTATTCCACCAGTTTATACATAGCACATTTAACTCAAAACTTCAACGGTTATTGGTATTATTAAAAAATAATCATACTTTATTAGGGAAAATATTTCAAAATCTTATTACTGTATTTTAAAATTAGCAAATAGATCTGGGCTTATCAAACGCCCGGGAAATAAAATAAGAATCAGTTACTTCACAATAACAAGGGGTTTCTAATTGATTTTTCAATTCCAGTCTATGCAATATTCAATTCATTTTCTTGACACGCAGAAGAAGAAATTTCCGCCATGGCAGGCAGTGAAGAACGCAAACATTTTGTCGCCCAGAGTTGCCAAAAGCACACAGAGCTCATGAAAAATGTCTCGGAGTTGACAGCCTTGTATCCGTTCGTGAATACGCAATTCAAATGGGTCCACTGCGCAGTTCCCAAGGTTTATTTTTATTTTTTATTCAGAATGAAAGACATTTATTGCAATCCTCTTATTTTCAAAAAAAATAAATAAAAAATATAGGTGGCAACGACGACGTTGCGATCGTTGTTCGCTGCTCTTCACCAACAGTCATCCGACCCTCGTGAAAATTTAACCACTCCGCTGGACCGAGACTTTGGGTTCAAAACCCTCGTTTCCTATTCGAAACCGGAAGTGGATTCCATTCTCGGAACTTCCTTCAAAACCGTGTTCATCCGACATCCGTTCGAGAGACTCGTTTCCTACTACGATGACAAAATAAGAGCCTATAACCCGCCCAGGGATTCGTGGGCCCTAGCGGCCCAAATCCGATGGGTTTGGTTCCACGTTTCCACTCGATTTCGCAATATGACACAGTCCGAGTCAAAGCGAGTTTTACCCGAATTCTACGACATCACTTTTGAAGAATTCATCGAATTCGTCGTGGACTGGACGCTGAAATTCGGCAGGAAACCCAACGAGCATTGGCAAGAAATCGTCGACGTCTGCTTCCCGTGCTCGGAAAAGTATACAAAGGGAATTCTCCGAAAAATAATTTGAAACCAGTTTTTATTTTTTATAATTACAAAGGTACAAATATGATTACATCGGATCTATTTATTCGTTCGAAACGGACGTGAGAGTGATTCTAAAATTGATCGGAGCCCAAAACCTCATCAAACTCTTGCCGAATCATTACAGACCGTCGACGGACCGAAACAGAGTTGATCACTATTTCCAACGAATCAGCCATGGAACCAGGCTGAAGTTGGCAACCCTGTTTGAGAAGGATGCGAAAATATTCGGATTTCGGTTGTAGAATATTCTGCTCGAAACGCGTCAGTGTTTTTTTTTGTGTGATTGATTGGCTGACTGACTTTTTGACAGCTGGGGCATCAGGAAATTAAAAGCATGGAGTTTGAAATTCGAAGAAAATAATTGATGAATGCATTGATTTGTGAGCTCAAAAAGGAGGTGGAGGAAAAGTGTTAGTTGCAGAGTGTGGGGATTGAAGTTGGAAACTCCTGTTGTACCTGACATTCCCCAGCAATATTCAAAAAAATCTTGACAATGTTCAAAAAGCGTATGACGGTGGTTGCTCTTGCATTTCTTCTGATGTTGGGGATTGGAGTCATTGCTGGCATGGTTTTACGGACTCTTAAATACAGTGGATACAGGAGATCAGCTGCTAATGAGACTATGAATGCTGATGAAATGACCACAAAAGCCTCAAGTAATGTATTTCAATATCCAGTGAACTCATTTAATTTGTTGCACAGTCTTGGTTGAGTATGTCTCATTAAATGTACATATCTAAATACAGTAAAATCTCATTACAACAAATACTGTTACAACACATTTTTCAATACAACAAACTTTTTTCAAGTCCTGGCAGAAAGCCTATAGACTACATGTTAAAATAATCTTGTTTTAACAAACTTGGGAATTCCATTATAACAAACTTTTTTGATGCAATTTTTTTGGTTTTTTGTGGAAAAATTTGGAAAAATTATTTGAAATTTGCTTGTGTTATCCTCCATTGAAGCCTGAATCAAAAGAGGCCTCAATAGAGGCCCAAATGTTTCAAAATCTCCATGGGATCCACCCAGGAGAGAGAGTTGTTCCACCCTTCCATGAAACCCCTTCCCTGGAACACAGCAAAAATTGCATGTAGAATTGTTTGGACCCCTGGAGGTTAATCCAAACATTCTGTTTCCCATGAACTTGCAGGAAGGGCAGTCAAATACAAAAAAA